CCACTCTGTCAAGCTTGACTGCAGTATATGTGGTCAGGAGGTCTTGAAAGGGTCCTTTCCAATGTTCTTTCAGGGGTTCGTTGTTCCAGGTTCTCAAATAGACCCAATCTCCTGGCTGAAACTCATGGACTGTAGTGTCTAGGCCCAAAGGTGTTCTTAACTGTAGGTAACTATTAAGAGAAGACAGAACCTTCCCTGGAGAAAGCACATATTCTTTAAGGTATTGTTTCCCTATTAATTCTGTAGATCCTGGCTCATGATTTATACTTGGATAAGGTTTTCCATATAATAATATCTCAAAAGGGCTGACTTTTTCTTTGGACTTTGGTGTAATTCTTGCTCTCAGTAATGCTAACGGGAGAGCATCTAACCATTTGAACTGAGTTTTCTGACAAATTTTGTTCAACTGCCTTTAATTTTTTGATTCATTCTTTCTACTTTCCCACTAGACTGCGGCTTCCATGGAGTATATAAATCCCACCTAATTTGTAAAAATCTTGATACTTCTTGAACTATCGCTGTAACGAAATGAGGTCCTCTATCTGAAGAGAACCATTCTGGTACCCCAAATCTTGGTATAGTTTCTTCTAACAGAATCTTCACCACCTCTCTTGCTTTATTGGTGTGACATGGGAAAGCTTCAGGCTATCCTGAAAAAGTTTCAACAATTACTAACAAATACCCATATCCATTACAATTAGGTAATTCGGAAAAAACAATTTGCCAGTATTCCCCAGGCATAAAATCTCTTTTCACGTCTCCGGGAGGGGGTCTCCTTTGGATCTTAGGATTATTTTTGATACAAATTTCACATTGTTGTGTAACACTTTCAGCAATCGGCATCATATTGATTCCTACAGCATATCTTTTTACTGCTTCAATTAAAGCTTCAGTTCCCATATGCATACTCTTATGGATTCACTCCATTAACTCCTTCATTATTTGTGGAGTTACAACACGTTGTCCAAATGGGGTTACCCACCATCTGTTGGTAGTCTTTATGCATTTCAGTAATTTGGCCAATTTGTTTCCTTTTTTCTGTATAATTAGGGGTGTTGATTTTGAAAGTTCTTTCTGGGACTAAGGCTGCTACAGTTGTTGACAGCAGTCCAGCATGGGCCTCCATTTTTACTGGATGCTGTTTTCATCTTGCCCGCTTTGCTCCTGGTTTCAATTCCACTCTCACCAGTTCTGCTGACATAGCTCTTGCAGGTTTCTCAGTTCCCCAGACAAAAGGGATTACTGCATTCATGATTTCAGAGGAGGCTTCAGTTTGCTTCTCCTTATTTCCAGCACCTTGTATTTCTGAAAATTCCTGTAACATGCATACTTGTGCCTCCCAAACATTATTTTGTAAAATATGTACTCGAACTTTGTCCTGATCAAAGGTTATTTGTGCTCCCAATTTATTTAATAAATCCATTCCCATCAGAGGTAACGGACATTCTGGCATATACAAAAATTCATATGTAAGTATTTGATTCCCAATTTCACACTTAATCGGTTGAAAGAAAAGACTGACCTCTCATTTTCCCGTGGCACCAATCACTGACATAGAGAATTTGCTCATGGGCCCTTTACAACTATTTAGTACAGAATATGCTGCCTCTGTATCAGCTAGGAATTTAACTGTCTCATTCCCCAGCTTGACTGAAACCAGGGGTTCAGCTGGGGAGCAGGGGAATCTAATTTCTTAACTCCCGGCCCCATCAATCTGAATCTTCCATGCCAATCATAAGTAAGTCTGCCTCCAGAATGGGTGCAGACAGGGGTGTCCATTTCTTTGGGCATTTGTTTTTCCAATGTCCCTTTTCCTTGCAAATCATGCACTGAGCTCTCCCCAAAGGGACTCTATTTCCTATATGTCTTCTTGCTCCTCAGCCCACTTTGCACCCCCACCCTCTTGGGAAACCTCTTCCCTGAGAGGAAATTTGTGCTTGAGCAAAGGCATCTGCTAAAATTGCAGCATTTTGCTTTCTATCCTTCAATTTCTCTTTCTGCTTTTCCTTCCTTTCCAATCCTTCCCTATTATTGCGTACCTTATAGGAAATTCCTGTTAATTGAGATATTGACATTCCAGACATGCCATCTACCTTTTGCAACTTTCTCTTTATGTCCGGTGCTGACTGCCCCACAAAGAAAGTAGTAAAAGTCATTCTATTAGCCTCATCCTCAGGATCCAAATCTGTCCACTTCCAGGCTGTTTCACACAGTCTCTTATAAAAGACAGAGGGGTCTTATCTTTACCTTGCACCACCTGATATAGTTTTGCAAGGTTTTTAGGTCTAGTTACCGCATGCTTTTTTCCATATAATATCAACTGCTGATATTGTTTATCCATTAATCTGCCCACCCCTGTGTTTGGATCTCACTCCAGCTCTTGTGCTAGCATAAAACGATCTGGACCATCCCTTGCATTTAAATTGCACATTTCTGTTCTGTTTTCAAACATTTTTCCCAATACTACAAGCAGAACAACAGCGAGGCAATTTCTTTCTATCTTCCATCCTCATCAATACATTTGAATCAGATATCAACAGTTTACATTTCTTTCTTGTTTCATGATCATTTCTTAAAGAAAAAAATCCACATATGGCATTTCATCCCATTTATCCTGCCTTCTGCAAAACAACAAAAGTTGCAAAATTACAATTCAAAGATCCCATTTCCCTTTGCGACAGTGGAACAGCATTAGTTGCAATATAGTGTTATACTTCAGAGTTCTGTTCTTAGGCCATTTCTCCTGATCTTCCAAAGTATACATCTGCCACCAATGATTACAATCTTCGATTAATTGCTTCCTCATAAGGCGTCACCCCCTACATCCGTCCTTGGTTCACTCCAAAGTCAGAGACAGAGCCTTCTGCTGATGATAGGCATCTGACCAAGCATGACTCACTCTTTGCGAAAAGACAGCCACAGGAGAGGATGGTGGTAATGATCACTTGCATAATAGTCTCATGGCAAGAGCATTTAGCTGTCCAGCAGAAGACTGGGGTTCCAGGTTTTTCTCAGCCTGGAGGTATTCAAAACCAAAACTCCCACATCCTAGAGGCATTCATCAGTCACGAGGATAAAGATTAGATTGGTGTGGATTCATTCTCAGTTTTGTTTGAACTGTTTCATTCCGCAGGAGGAACAGAAGACTTGTGGAGCAGATAGGTCACCCAGCGGGGTGGTGCCTCTGGATTCTTGTCCCTGCTTCAGAGACTGTTGATGCTTTTAGCATGAGGGAGCCATTAAGTGAAACACATAACTGTTACTGTAATCATTCTGCAGTTAGGCTTAAGTGAAGTCTCCCCATGTTGTCCTTTTCGTGTTTTAAAAGAAACTGACCACATTAGTGTGTGTGTGTGTGGTGTTGCTTGAGCATGTATTTGGACGTTTGGTGCACACATTAGACACCTTTTCATTTGTCTCTGAATTGCAGTAGGCCTCTGTTGCAAATATGGGGTTTTTTTACACAGCTTTGGTTTAGCAGAAATTTTAAGATTTCTTAATATTTTTGAGATAGATCACAGAATTACGTTGTATAATTCTTAACAGCACTTAAGCATCAGCCAATTTAAACAGCAATTTGATGGAATTTGTTACAATCAAAAGAGCGACTTAGTTAAAAGATTCGAGAATGGCAAGGGTCACCCAAAACTTACAGCAGGGTTGCACACACAGATGGGGTTTAAATCAAGTCACACACAGACAGACCAATGATCTAAATCAAATTACGCACACACACAGACAGACAAACAGTTCTGACACAAATTGTACACACACACACCCCGAGGTTAACCTGAGATGAAAATTTCCCTTTTTGTGAGTTTCATTTATTAGTCACTTTTTTGTGCCAGCATTCATCAACAGACAGTTGATGAACCTTGCGAAGTGAGGCCTTTGAGTCCTTACGAAGTCGTCAATGGACAGTCCTTCGATCCTCAAATCTTCCCTGAGAGGCATCCCAGCTTAGGGGGAGATACTGGGTCACACAGCCTGCTGCAGTCCCGGAGAGCTCTGCTCCAGAAGGTCTATTTATAGGATCTCGAGGTGATTGGCTTTGGTCAGTATTTTACATTCTGACCACAATTCATACTGAGTCATTCTGGTATACAATTCAAGGAGCAGATGGCCCAGGTGTGGACAGAGACTGCCTGATGACCTGCAGTCACTGCATTTGCGAACAAGGTAACAGCACAATTAGGGCTTATCCTGGGATCTCAAGAGTGGCCCGGCGGGGTGTGGGGGGGTGGGGGCAGTGCTGCACCACCACAGCCTCAGATAGAAGCTAGCTGTCCAATTGTCCAGCCAGGGATATTTCTAGAAGTTGGAACAGGATTAATCATGTTTTCTAGTGCTGTATTCATCAGACACTTGCCTATTTAGAGATTACCTTGCTATGTCTGTATACCTGCCAGTGGTGAGAATGGGAGAATAATTTGTCTTAACTTAGTGATGGAGATGAGCTTAGTATAAGAGAGCTTTAACCTTTGATTTCTTTCCAGTTTTCTCCTAAAAATAGCAGTCTTACTCTAATCAGTAAATTCAAAGAAGTTAATGCTGAGATAAAAATTTGATACTTAAAAGACTGGTAGAGGCATCTTGATTTGCAGAGGTTTAGAAGGCTTGACGGCAGTCAGATACTTAATGTTCTATAGAGCCAAGAAGCTTCTCACATCACTTAAAATTATTTACATTCTTTTTGGGAACTCCTTATAAACTTGCTAAATGAGGAAACTTTGTGCATTGAAAGTGTGTTATCCATCTGAAGCTGTGTTATTAAGTTTATGCTCCTTCTTATTCTCTAATTCTAGATGATTTCACATATGCAATATAAACAGTAATTGAAAATTTTAAGAAATTACACTGCTTACCAGAGATTTTGTCATTAAAAATCTTATTAAAGGACAGAACTGGTAGTAGTTTTTTGCTCTTTTGTTTTATGTAGAATTAAGGTAACGTGCCAGCTAATTTACTGAAGCTGTTACTTTTTCCTGTAAATCTTCAAGGTGGAAGGAACAGCATACCTAAGTTCTTTCCTGTGGAAATCACAAAATTTGGGACTTTGGAACAGACCTCGAGGTGAGAACATGCTAGATAGCGGTGCGCATTTTTATGAAACCTACGAGACCTCCGATGGAAAATATATGGCTGTTGGTGCCATTGAGCCTCAATTCTATGAGCAGTTAATAAAGGGTAAGTAGGAGCAGTTGTTTCACATCTGCAAAGCATGACTGAATGAATTCTTTAATACTTGATTTTGATTCATGACATTGGTTATGTTGATTGCTTTGTAAAACCCAAACATTTCTTGAAACTAATTGGGTAGAGTGCAGCAGTTCAGTTGACTTTCTTCTTCTAGGAATTGATTGATTTCTTTTTCATCCCTTCTTCACCTTACCCTCAGAAACTACACTTTAATGACAGGTGTTCTTCTGGAGTTATGGTAAGGGTAGCCTGTGATGTGGTGGAGCACTAAACAACCATTTTTGGAAAACACATTTTTCAAGAGATTGAGAATATACTTTAAAAAGTAGACCTAATTCTTTGGTATTGTGAATAAAATTTCAAGCAGTTTCAGTTATTTGAGCTCTATTTTTTTTAAAAAAAGAAACTGTTTAAATTGTTTCAGAAATAAATGTTCATTGGAAGTAGTTCATAGTATTTCTTGATAGAACAGAATTTTTCTAGAAGCGAAGTCAGCTTTTTAAATTAATCTCCACCACAGAATTTCAGAGTGCTTTTAGTGTCCAGCTATGGATTTAATTTTTATATTTGACTGATACTCTTTAGATATGACTATAAAATGTGATTTATCTGTTTGAGAAACTAGAATGGGTCATGCAAATAATTGTGTGAAGTTAAAACAGAAATTTGCACGTGTCTCTTTACCTTTGAACTGTTTGTGTGCTTCAAGCTTTTGACCAGATATGCTCTTAGCTTCTGACTGGTTATTTAATTTAAAAATAATTTCTTCTGTTATGCTCTTTTGGTAGATTGCTATGCTTTCCATACAGAATTTATGAACATATAAAAAATTCATGAAAGAATTTGGTATTTATTGTCTTTCCATTACGCTGAATATGAAGGATACAAAAAGTTCTCAACCTAATTTTAGTTTTGCTTAATGAATAGAAGGAATACCAACAAAGGATATACCTGAAGTGGATGCACCCAGTGTTATGTGAACCACTTCTGTATGTGCATGACTTACATGTGGTAAATCTTTGCTGAATGAGGGTAGCAGTGGAATAGCTGCTTATTCTTGCTCAGTCTCTCCCCGCTGATTATTCCTTGAATTGTAGCACAGATACCTGTACTGATTTTGGCTGGGACAGAGTTCATTTTCTTCAGAGTAACTAGGATGGGGCTGTGGTTTGGATTTGGGCTGGAAACAGTGTTGATAACACAGGGATGTTTTGGTTACTGCTGAGCAGTGCTCACACAGAGTCAAGGCCTTTTCTGCTCCTCACCCCACCCCACCAGCGAGCAGGCTGGGGGTGCACAAGAAGCTGGGAGGCGACACAGCTGGGACAGCTGGCCCCAACTGACCTAAGGGACATTCCATGCCATATGACATCATGCTGAGCAATAAAGGGTGGGGGGAGGTTGACCAGGGTGTCTACTGCTCAGGGTCTGGCTGGGCATCTGTCAGTTGATGGTGAGTGATTTTTTTCATTTGCATCACTTGTCTTTCTTGGGTTTTATTTTTCTCTCTCTTTGTTATTATTTCCCCCCCTCTTTTCTTTACAATTTTTTAATTACTATTATTTGTTTGTAATTATTAAACTGTTTTTACCTCAACCCACGACTTACTCTCTCACTTCTACTCTTCCAGTTCTGTCCCCTTTCCACGGTGGGAAAGGGGAGTGAGTGAGCAGCTGAGTGGTGCTTAGTTGCTGGCTGGGGTTAAACCATGACAGCTCCTCTCACAGGCGGTTACTGCCAGCTCAGCCCCAATCAATTACATTGTGCTAACAAAAGTGTAGTCAGTGCCAGGATCTGCACTTCCAGGAGTTTTTGAAATTCAGGAGCATGGTAGAATGCAATGAAGGTATGAGGTTGTAAGGTGGGGTATGCCTTTGGTGAGCAGCACCCCAAAGAGAGATCTCGTTCTGTATGCTTTGGCTTTGTTCTCTTGCAACCTGCGGTGCTCCCAAAGTTCTTGCACATCTGTGGCTGTAAATGGCTGCTTCTCTACGTAGCTTAAAAAGGGCTATGCAATTGCATAGAATATCCAAATTGGTATATGCTGATACATGAAACACATAAGGCACGCTCCTGGAGTGACTCAGGGACATGTCCAGCATTATGTGCTGCCCCCAGATAAGATGTCAAGTTTGGAAGAGTCATGTTCTTGGCTGAAGAAGCTGGTACTTTGTCCTTCATATCCTGAGAATACGGATTATTCTCAGGATCTGAGAGTAACTTGTTTGCGAACTCCAGTTCTAAGCTACTGATCTTGAAGAAGCCAGTGTAGTTGATGATTCTACACTTTGTCATTCTTTGAAACGTTATTCTCATCCAATCCCTTGAGATGTTTTTGCTTGCAAGAAATGGAGTTGGAGAACAAAAATAAATGTAAAACTGTATCAAAGTAAAATGTAAGGAGTTTGGAATTCCGGTACATGTCTTCAGGGAGAACGCCTGTATTAAATACAAAGGAAAAAAGAAAGTAATAAAGCTGCTTACTCAAATACCCATCTGTTTGGCTTAAAGTGATCAAACACTGTCCTGCAGTGTTCATGGCTGCAGTATTTTATTCTTCTCTAGAGGTTAAGTTGAATAGCACTTACTTTTAAGCTACAGAAGTGGGATGGAATCTCTGTTTGTTCAAAAAGAAAATGAATTCTGTAATGGAGTCTGTTCATGTTTGTCACTCTCCTTCTCAGCTGGACACTCCAGCTTTCTTGTATTGATCATTGCAACAGGGCAAGACTTAGGCTTTTCTCTCTCAACCAGCCAGCCAGCTTATCCAGAAAAAAGCCTCTGATGGATGAATCCAGTGATCTGGCAATATAACATGACCACTGACTGGTCTCTGTCTTATTTAGATAGCTCTTTACTGAGGAAAATGTTCAAATTCTCTGTTTTCCTCTTAGTTGTTTCTCAGAAATTCAGAGCATAAAATTGGAGCAGCAACTATGAATTAATCTGCCTATACTGTGGCACCCACATTGAACAACTGTTTTCATGTTTGAAAGTATCCCTTATGCTTGCAGTGCACAGAAATGGCTTGATTTTAACAGTTGAAGTTTCAAAACTAGTTATTCCAGCAGTAAAGAACCTGTGTATCCATTTGTAAGTAGACAGCAACTGCAATCACAGCTGTGCCTGTGTTTCAGTCTGTTTCCATCATATTTAAAAAATCTAGCATACAGACTACAGTCTTCTAAGGAAATTTTGCTTTTTGCCTTTAATTGTATCACAGTCTTTGCTTGTTTACAGTCAACAATTTTTCTTTGTTTATTTTGTAAAAGTGTGTTGTTTAAAGTATAGGAGGGAACACAAGAGTTTTTTTCACAATACTGCATTTAAAGTGGTCTTTGTTCATTGTATTTTAGGTGTGTATTATGAGTTCAGATTTTCACATAGGAAATGTTTATCCCCTTCAGTAGTTATGGTTGCAAGCTTTCTGAAGCAATAGCGTACTAAATTAGAACAGCAGATCCTTCTTGTGGCTTAGGGATTTTTTTTCCTTTCTGGGATATCTATTGCAGAAATTCAGTTCAGAATTTAAGCCTTTGAATGTTAATAGTGAAGAAAAAGCTGCTTCTGAGAATTGTATTGCTCTTTCACAAACCCGAAGAGCTTTGACTTAGGCTGAGTCGTCTGTTCCAGGCATTAATTCCCTGCTTTGAAGTTGTTTTAAAACAGTATGTTCCAGTTACAATTTCCATAATTTTATTTCATACTTTTTTCCCATAATTCTGGTCAGTTCTGCTGGTAAGCAATTTTGTGCTGTTCCAGATAAAATGTATTCAAAAGCCACTTTATGTCTCTGTGTCCATACTCAGAGAGTAGGTTACTTTTGCCACTCCTATATAATGAGAACACAAGGATACGGGTGTTGCAGGTGTTAAGAGTTGGAGATTTAAAGATTGCAGAGTTGAGAAAGGAACATATTTTCTGAACCATTTGTCACGGCTCACAAAATTCTGGTTAGCTGAAGCGAAACTAATTTCCTTTTGGTTTTGGCTCGCTTTAGTGTTTCCCTGCAGAATTAGGAACCCAGTGCTGGACCAGAGTGCAGTCAAAGACATGGCGAGGAAAGTTCTTAAGGGTCTGCAGAGGGAAGCTAAGTTTAAGAAAATACAGCATCTTAGTTTGAGAAGATTGTTGGCTTTGTAGGTCGTGCTCAGCAGAGAAAAGTAAATTTCTGCTTACCACAAATGTATAATTTTTTTAAAAAAAAAATGATATGAGAAACTGAAGCTACATAAAACAGATATAGTAAATAATTTCTGTAGTAGCTGTAGTATTAGGAGTTGTATTCTGGGCTCACTATAGACTATTTGCTGTTAACAAAAATGCTGTGATCCTTTTGCTTATATTTTATTACTACAAAAGTCAGCCAATAAGTAACTAAAATGCCTTTGCATCTTATGAAAAATCTGATGTAAGAAACATGTGCTACTTATGTTGTCTCAATGTTTTGACAGAAAGAGACAGAACGTCTTCCAGCTGACCTGTGAATTACTTCTGCAGGTTTCTCTTGATTTTCAGCAATATGTGCTTAGTATTGCTGTAGCAAGGCTACAAGAGGTATGCAGAGCACAGTAAATTTTATGTATCAGGTGAGAGTAAAGGTTTGATTCTGTGTTATCATGTGGTGTAAACTCGGTTACCTAAGGTGAACTTAGTATCAGCTTACATTGATGTGAAAAGCACTAACAGTCACTAAAGTTCTGAACGTGTATTTGATAACGTTCATTGGATACATGGATACATTGGATACATTGGATAAGGAAAAGGCTGTGGTTCTTGTCTTCCTGGACTTTAGTAAAGCCTTTGACACTGTCTCCCACAGCA